GATTCTAGGATTATTAAACACTTTTGTTAACTTTACAAAATTTCAAAAATGTACTTGAGTAACAGCAAATGAATATATCTATCTATGTTGATCAAAACCAATAGCCAATGGAAATTATATCCATTTGATTTAAAACTAACATAGAATGTGTAAAATGTTGTACCAACTTTTTGGAAGGAAAATTTAAGGTGTTCCAATGGCTGATGAAAACTAACTTTTTGTCTTCTTTTTAGTTTGTGGTTCATCCCAGAGCAACTATCTGCTAATTCTCATTGAAATCTGATGAGTGTTTTTGGCGAATTCATGCAAGGAAGGTATTTAATATGCACATATCACGGGAGGTCAAAGGTTACTGGCATGTAAGCAAGATCTTTGACTGGCCTGCTCCGTGGGCTCCGGTGAAGTTTTACAGGTAATAAGTACAGGACAATTAAGCGAATCACTTTATCTGGGATGTAAAGTTCTGGTCGCCGGATGGAAGTGAGTTTTTGTTGAAATTATGTCGCCGAAGACCGTGAAAAGCAAGGTTTCCAAAACGAAACAACAAAATGTCTTACAGGGTTTTGCGACCCAAACATCACGTGACCAAGTTTCGGGAAAAATCGGAACACGAGAGCAAGGTGAAAGCGATGGTGAATCTCCCAATATGCATGATGAGGTCGATCCGGACTTCCAATCGTATATAAAAAACGCTCTTAGCAGAATTGAGAAGAAGGTGGACGCGCTTAATGAGGAACAACACGCTATAACTGAAAGATTTGAGAATATGGAGAGGAAGCAGGCGGATTTCGAGAGAGCGTTAACTGCGTCATCAGATGAAATGACCACATTGCGCAATAGCCATGAGGCGGTAGAAGGCAGACTCGGTGAATTCGATAGAAAGATCAAGGAGTTGGAAGCCAAGACCAGGGAAAATGAGGAAGAGGCGCTTCGGCTTGCTAGATACTCAAGAGCTTTCAACCTTAGGTTTGGTGGATTCCAGATACAGCAGGGCGAGAACTGCATGGAAATAATTGCGGATTTATTAAAGGAGAAGTTGGGGTTCGAGAGCGCAGCCGCCATGATTGAAAATGCACATCGAGTTGGGATAAATGGTCGCCGGAGCGGTGCGAGGCCTGCACCTCATATAATCGTTAAATTCATGAGGAGAACGGACCGCATCGCTGTTCTACGAAAAGCCAAAAGTTTATTAAAGCAAGGTGAAATATTTGCAACTGAAGATTATACGCAAGCTGATTACAAAAGGAAATGTGAGCTGCGTCCAGTCATGCAGAAAGCGTTTGAACAAGGTAAACGTCCACGTTTTGCCAACGGTAGACTTTTCATTGATGGGAAATTATTTAAGGACTGAAGATATTTCGGCTGACAGGCAGTGTCCCAGATTTGGATGATTTAATGAACGCGGTAGGCTATTCTCGCTTGTCGTGGTGTACGGGGCAGTAGGAAACTTTCGTACGAACTGTTGTTTCTGTACTGTTATTTTGAACTGTTGAACGGAAATATGGTTGGTGAATGGTGAGTTTTGAACTTTTGAACAGTAATGTTATTTTTGATAAATGTTAACCTGAACTTGTAAAGTTATGCGGTTTGAGTGTTGTTGTTTTTGTTTTGTTTCTGTTTGTGAAAAGCGTTTGTTTCTTTTAAAGTTGTTTGGGAGCTCGCGGGGCGGGTGTTTTTTCATGATGCAACAATCCATTGGCTTTATTCAGATGTGGATGCATCCGATATGGGGAAATTTGGGAGTTTTTGTGGCCCACCTTTTACAGGCAAGTTTTTGGCCTGGGGGGCAGATTCCTTTGTTTTGTTTTTTGTTGGATTTTTATGAGAAAAGAGTCAAATTTTATTATAAGTGGTGTACCAGGGAGTATGTTACAATTCAACTGCCATGTTTTCTGAACTTAAAATTTTGTCATTAAATGTGAGGGGCTTGGGTCGTTGCAAGAAAAGGAAAAATGTGTTTAGGTGGATTAATAATCAAGGCTCTAGTATTGCTTTTTTGCAAGAAACGCATAGCAGTACAGATGTGGTTAAATTTTGGAGTAAGCAGTGTAGGGGAAAGATGTTTTTTAGCCATGGTGTTTCCAACAGTAAGGGGGTGTTGACTATCTTTCGAAACATCGACTATGAGTTCTAAATACAATATGTGACCCAGGCGGCAGTATTTAATTCATGATGTTATGCTATATGGGAAACATTTTCTTTTGGTATTCATATGCCCC